ACAGCTGAACAGTTGAATTGAGACCTGAGCACCTAAGCTGGTTGCTGCCATCCCCTTATAGCCACTGGAGAAAAATAAGCACTTTTAGGGCATAAATCTTGAAGTGAGCACCTGAAAGAGATCCCAGTACACCCAGAAATTTTCCTCTTCTCTAATGACTACAAAGCCAGTCTACCAGACCAGCACAGACCAAGATGCTGAGCAGTCAAAATCTAATTTTAAGCAAGAATGATATGCCTCTGTGAAGCTGGATGGGCAAATTGTTACTGCTTTTTAACACCTTTACAATTGCAATACTAATATCTTCATCAAAAGACATGGATGTAGAAACCCATGTGCATGACCTGGTGAAACCCAGAGTCTGACAGTCAGCCACTTTCTAAGTAAGAATCAGAGAATCTGACTTAACATGCTTCTTGTGAAATGTCTGTGAGCAAAACTCTGCTACTGGAAGAAGGAGCACTGACCTGGAAAGATATTCATCTTCTTACTACAGCTGTGTATGAATGACTGGTTGGTGAGATAGGCTGTACTGGTTGTGCTCTGAGACAGATGCATACTTACAAATCTCCCTGAACAACTGGGCAACTCCATCCTGGCTTGCTGTCACCAAGAAATGGTTGGGCGATTGCAATCTCTCTCACAGCATCTGCCAAATCAGTTATCTTGAACTGAAAAGAGTGCAGCAGAACTAATGCAACTCAGTTTACCACAATCCCTGCATTTTACTTTCCTTTTATTTCCATCATACACTGGAGGTGCACCAGAAGTGACTGGCTTGCTGGTGAGCCAAATCAAACAGATATCTACTTAAGTCTATACCTCAGCCTTCCCCTTAGAGGGACACAAATCCAGGCCTCTCACCTATTGAGCTGCCAGCTTTTTACAATAACTGGAGGAGCTGAAAGTTGTCCAGCCATCTCCTCTTCTGCTGTATTTGGTTAAAATTGGTCATTGGGCTATTGCAACGTTATTAAGTGGGGAGCAACAGACAGAGCAATTGCATACACCTTCTATTTAGGAAGAGATGATGAAGAAAAACACCACCTTGCTTCCCAGTTCCTTCTCGGTTTATTTGCTAATTCAGAGAGTTGAAATTTTTCCATTTGGGAGAATTTCAGTCAGGTCCAGCATCACTCATAAAAATGGAGGAATTGTTCCAACAATGTCCTAGAAAGGTTTCCTAATTTTGTAAAGAAATCCAGGAACAGAACCTGGCCAGCTCTAACCTGACTGGTTCGTGCTGTGCTGTGCTGGGTAGTTCAGCAGAGAAGTCTGGGTCTCCATGAGTCTCAGCCTTTACTCCTGCAGGCAGGAATCTCCATGAAAGGAGTCACCTCCATGCTTCATGCAGGTAGTGAGAGACCAGGAGCCAGCACCAAAGCCAGGCAGACCTTGGGCTCCTGCTCATCTCCAACCAAATAACTTAGTATGGACACGAACACCTCCAGAGCTTATTTGGTGGGAGTGAGGGAAACCAAGGCAAAATACTTGGACAACAGCTTTGGTCAGGTGTGTGATGAAGATGGACTTGAAAAAGTTGGCATCATATTTGGGAGTCTACCTGGAAATTTGTGCAGTTATTGACTGTTCTTTCACTTTGCCTGGATCTGGGGAAACACTTTTCATTGCACCTATGTAAAGAGTCATCTACTATGGTTTCTTTCAGGGAAAAAAAGATTCTACTCTATTTACTGTAGATGTGATTTTTTAATAATATAGGCATTTTTCTGGACTTTAAGGCTTGGTTTTATTAAACTGGGGCAAACCAGGAAATCTCATCTTTTCTTCCTCACTGGCTACCATGAAATTCATCCACGATTTACCTAGGGTCCTCAAACTTAAGAGAGGTGGAATTTTAATTCCAGGGCTGCAGTAGGTCAAGAGCCAGGTTTATCTTTCAGCAGGGATTACCTATGGTTTCTACTAGATTATTCCTGACATGTGGCTCATCATATTACAGGTTAAATGTTTAAAAGGGGGAGGAAAGCATGAGGCATAATGAATAACAGCTATATAACTCTCCTCTCTTCTCCCCAGAATAAATCCATACTGAGTTTAGGAGGTGCATAGATTAAAAGACTGTCCTGACAGGCTATCAACAAACTTACCACATCATATAACAAGAGTGAACTTTAAATCTACCATTTTGGCTACCTTTGAAACTCACTGAGAAGCCCAGCCCTAATATAAAATCTCCTAGTGGTTCACATCTGGGTTTTGTAATTGTCATCTGAAAACAGTGTTAGGAGTGATAAGTGAGTGGTCATCTCACTGGAATCCTAGTGCAGCCTTTCTCAGTAATGAAATGATATTGTATTTCTCCCCATATGAATCAAGGTTGAAAAAAGTTCCATGTTCAGCTTTTAAACTGTGTTTCCATAGCTGATTTATTTTGTTTTTTTAATATGTTCCTCTGCCATTGCTTTTCCCCTCCCATTTTATTTACTATACCCTAAGCAGGGCTCTGATTTCCCCTCATCCTGCCATGATTACAGGCAGAGTCCTCTGCCAGGGATTCAAACATTGGTGGACAATACCTCCTGGGCTTATAAACTCACTGTTGTTCTCCTCCTGCTTCGGGGGAGATGAAAAGCAAATCCACGAGTTGCCAAGAATCACACCCAGGCAGGGATGCAGTGCTGCAAGAGCTGGTCCCTGCTCAGTGTACAGGAGACAGACGTGACCCTGGGATGAGTTCATGGGGTCACACCTTGACCCTGATGGAGACCCCTCATCCCCCTGTGCCCCTGTGAGGAACAGGGAGGGATTAAACTGTAGGGCTGCAGTCCGTTTGCAGGCCAGAATGAACAGGCCCCAGCCACAAATCACTCCATATTTTAACAGGCTTTGAGAGGTTTTTCTTCCTCACTTTAACCCTTTGTGGGACCTCAATGCCTGCAGAAGATGGATGATGGGCAGTCCTCCAGTACAGGTGTTGAAAGGCTACCTGGTATAAACCTACATTTTCCATGTTCCAGTCAGGGCTGAAGGAAAGGGAGGACCATTCCTTTTACCTCTCAGGTCTGGGATCTCCACTACAACTGCCCTTCAACACACTCCTCACTGACAGTATTTCCCTTTGCCAGCTCACCAAACAGTTCCCCAATTTGACATCAAGCTGTTCCCCAAGATGGCCAGGACCTGGTTGTCAGCTATTTCACAGGCATCAGACCAGAAGCCCTGCAGAGGACCTGGATACCCAACAGGTGTCAGATCACAAACTCTGCAGTCACCTGCCAGCCCCCAGGCCATCAGGGCTTGCCCCAGTCCTTGCAAAATTCTTTCACATGCTTTTTAGGTTGCCACAAGGAGGGCCAAGGGGAGACCTATTGAGCCACATCTGGTAAAGGAGGGCAAATGTGTTTGTGCCCCTTTCTGAGCACTGGGGAGGAGGGTGGTTTTTGCATCTCCATCAGTCAGTCTTGACTGCAAATGTGGTTATATCACTGACTGACCTCAGCTCTGTAGCAAATCCCAGTGTCACTGGTCCCAGAGTCAGGTTTGAGCATGAGCTGAGGGTTAGACTGGAGTTGGTGGGATTGTGTGTGCAAGTGAATGGTGCCAGACCAAAGCCGGGCATTGACTCCCAAAAGGTGAGTGTCATGGTTTTTTAGCTACTAGGAAGAAAATTAACTCTATCCCAGCCAAAACCAGTACAGTGAGACACAAGTGGGGACTGCAGTCAGCACCACTGGCCCATCCCGGGTCTATAGGTTGTATTTGAGTGCTCTCTAGTGGACAGAGAAACAAGTCCCAGAGGTGAGCACAGCTGATGAGGCTCTTTCTGAGCTTAAGTCACCCTCCCTGGGTGTCTGAGGCACTGGGTCTGTAGTACTGACAGCCATGGGCCTGTTTGGAGTCTCTGGGTGCAGGGTTTGGGAGGGCTGTTCAAAGCTGGGTCTTCCTGACCCCTGAGGCTGCAGGGCAGAGGTTTGATGCAGGAGCAGTACAGGGTGGAAGAGGATGCACACCTTGTCTGGTAAGAGCTGACTCACAGAGCACAGGTAACATCCCAATCCCTTCCCATTTACACAACTTTTCAGTGCTTCTCCTTGTGTTGAAGGAAACACCTGAAGGACCTGTTCCTGCGTGTGCAGTCAGTGGGTAGAAGAGCAGAGAGGTACTGTGGAAGGAGAGTAGAAACACCGGTCACGGGATTTTATAAGGAAGTGGGGAAAAATTATATCAACTCATTTACCAACCACTGATGAGACTTCAGGAGCCCTCTGTTCCAAGAGCCCTGCCAGTGCTGAACATAAACACTCTGAGGTAAAATATCTCGTTTCATAGCACAAAGTGATAACCCACTGGATATAGTGGAAGCAGACTGCTTCAGCATGACAAGAAGGTTATTATGGAAGTCAGCTCAGGACACAGACCATAAAGTGGTTATGTAGTGGGTGCTTCCAGATAAGCAGAACCATATTACTGAACCCAAATGTTCAAAAGGTGCTTGAAAATCGTGAGATCTGAATTTTGAGTTCTGAGAATAACTCATCACATTTTCTTTTCTATTCTGTGAAGTGACAGCTAAAAGATTTTTATGATGGTGATATTAAAACCAGAAACAGCCACTTGACTCATGAAACAGTCACACAAGCTGTAGAGGTTATATACATCTGTCCTTAAACTCTTTAAAGCCTGACTTCTCCATTACCTCTGTGTTGTGGCCTCATCTAGTCAGAAACCACTGAGTCTCTACCACAATACCACACATACCTGCAGAAAAGGAACATGGGTTTGTATGTGGGCAGTTATTCTGTGCAAATTCATTAACAGTCTTGTTACAGAGATGCTGCAGCAATACATGTTAGGCTGCTGAATACTGACTGCACAAATATGCTGATTCAATTTGTTGAGGGTCCAGAGTTTACTCCTCTTTTCTTCACTCACACACAGCTAAACTGAGGCAAGGGAAACCCATGAAGGTGAGACGAGCAGCTGAGGGTAACCCAAGTACTGGTAGGAAATCATAACTCTATTAGTGATGACTTTTGGTGGTATTGCTTCTCGGATTCGCTGCACATTCTCCCATAAACCTTCCTCTGCATGTTTCCAGTTGACAACCAGCTACACTAAACAAGTCCCAGTGCCACTGTGACTGATGGCCAAGGTGCAGGGTCTGGCCAATGCTCATCGATGGGCTCATTTCTGCAACAAAAAAAAAGAAAAAAAACAGTTTAGTGGAAGAAACTTTCCCTGTTGCATCCAAAGTAACATGAGAATCAAACTTCAAGTATTCTGGAAGGTTGCTTCTGAAAAAGGAGAGATTGTTGCTCAGCTTCAGCAGGCATCTCTATCGGTACATCACAGTTTTCTCCTGTCAGGTTTGATTTATGTGCACCTTTTATGCCGAGATTCACTCTTCACAGTCACCATCTGATGACAGACCCTGTCCTAACCTCATGGGAAAGTCAGCTGATTATTTCCACAACCTCAGAGTTTAGCACCACTGAGGCATTTGTTTTGTTCATTTGTTACAATGATACGGGCTGTGGAGTTATAAAAATGCCATATAGGATAAGACTTGTTAGGAAATCAGATAAACAGGTAGCCCTTGGACTTCTTCATGAGTATAGTGATATAGTGCACACAACCTCTCCAGGACAAAGAAGGGCAGCATACAGGGGCTAAGCAGACACTTCTGTTTAGGGAGAAAAGCCCCAGTTTTTGAAGCATCTTCACAGGCACTTGGCAATATTTGGAAGGACAATGCTCAGTGAGCATGACAAGCCTCAGTGGGAGCTCATGGCTCAGGTCCTGCTCTATTTTTGCTGTCTCAGGCAGCTAACTGCCAGCTGCTTACTCCTTGTTACTATCTGAATAAATTGGATTATCCAGGAAGCCAAATGGGGATAAAAATGCCATTAGAGAAGCAATTCATTTAGACGTAAAACTATTCATGATATACCAATGCTGTCAGGAACTCTGGCCCAGAGCTGTTTAACCCTTCAGAAGTCACATGAGAACAATTCAGCTTCCAAAAACACTTTCTGGTGGCTTGAAGCAGTTCTGGCAACCAGGACCCCTGTGCCAGAAAGGCTGCAGCGGGGGGATGGTGGTGTTTACACTCTGCTTGACAAAAGGTTTTCAGTGGCAGGGAGAGAAAACAACTGGGATTTAGAAAAGAACCTCACCTATGAAGCCTCCCTTTTTTATTTTGGTTCATGAGTTCCATGCTCCAGATTTCTTGTTTCATGACAAGTATCAAAAAAGACTGTTCTGCGTATGCCACTTTGGACCTCTCTTGATTTTTACAGATTTCCATCACATCCCAAACTCCTCCAGCTGTTCCTTTGCGGGGTGAAAAGTCCTAATCCGCTCACTCAGTCTTCTTTCATAGGCTGCTCCTTTCTGGGGACACTCCTGTGAAATAAAGATAAGACAAAATAAAATAAAAATTTAGCTATGTTAGTAAAATTTAGCTATGTTAATGTGACTTTGCAAAACTGTAACTGCTTGATAAGAAGGTTGATGCCCAAATTGTGGGCAATTAATATAAAGCTAGTTTACGTAAACAAAAGGGACTGTCAGGGAAAGCGGGAAGGACTTTTAGCATATAGCATCGAAAGGGAGACAAAAGAGGAGTGGGGGAAACCTACGCTGTTTGAAATGATAGAACTTTATGTAACTATAGTAATAAGAAGAGGAGTTAGGCAACTGAACGTCTATTTAGATAAGGTAGATTTCGTAAAGCGTGTATATGATAATAATTTTGAAACTCACTTCTATAAATGTATAAAAAGCGGTTATGTTTCTTTTCTCGGTAGAATGCACAGCGAGGGGGGCGAAACCCCTGTATCTCCCCGGCCGTAATAAAAGTGTGCTTTACATACTGTTTAAGGATTTCTTTGAAGCAGGGGCACACAGCGGCCGTGGGGCGTGTGGCCGTGTCCTGCTCCCGGCTGGCTCTGCCTCGGGATGGGGCTGGGTAAGGCCAGCGCTCTGGAGCAGCGCCGTGCCCATTGTTTTAGGGCAGAGACGCGTGCGAGCCGTTTCCAACGAGGAGGAGGAGGAGAGCGTGGGGATGCGCCGGGACTCGGGGCATGTTTCAGTCCCGTGGGACGAGGATGAATTAGTGGGGTTGCCGTGGAACCCTCTCCGCCCGTCGGTGTAGTCGTGGCCGAGTGGTTAAGGCGATGGACTAGAAATCCATTGGGGTCTCCCCGCGCAGGTTCGAATCCTGCCGACTACGAGCCCGAACCGCTGTTTTTTTCCTCCGCGTCCCGGACATTTTCCTCCCTCCCCCCGCTCGTTTTGCACCGGAGCCGCCGCCGCCGCCCGATATCCGGCAGGGCCGGCCCCGGGAAGGGAGGCGGGACCTCCTCCTGCGGCCATGGAGCAGCGCGGCCCGGCGCCCGCCGTGCTGGTCACCACCAGGTACCGGGGACACCGCCCGGACCGGCCCCGCCACGGCTTGGGATGCCCCTGGCGGGCCGGCTGCGCTGGTGGCGGGAGCCGTCCCGGGAAAGGGAACGGAGGGAGGGAAGGACGGGAAGGAGCGCGGGGTGGCGGAGCTGAGGGGAAGCCGGGTGGCAGCTGCGGGGATTTGCCCCAGGACATTTGGGATACGCGCGGATCCTTCCAGTTTTCTGGCGTTTCACAGCGGGGAAAGATCCCTCCCTAGCCCTTTCCCCCGGTGGTAACTTGGGGTCGCTTCCCTTCCCCGCTGACGCAGCGTGTGCTCCCGCCCTCCGGAAACGCCTTTTCCTGGTGATTCCGAGGTGGGTCAGGAGGAGTTAGAATTTATCCCGGCGCTTTGGCTTCATCCGTGGTTTGGCTAATGCCGGTTCCCCGCTGCCGTGTCCGGCATCCCGATCCCCGTGCCCCCCGGGAGCGTCTCTGGCTGGAAGCCCAGTGATGGGCTAAATGAATTTTTTCTCTTTTCCCACCTTCTTGAAAGCCTGCCCCAGGTGGGTGCAGAGTTGCTGTTTTCCGTTGCATTAAACTTTTAAAACCTGCGTTTTCCTAGATGTGGTAAAGCAACTCTCAGTTGAGAAATGCCTCAAGAAGAAAATGCTTGTGGCGATCTTTATAGAAAAATTATAGAGATCTCTCTTTTTTTTTTTCTTTTATCCCGACAAAATATTTGAGACCACATGAAAGCAGTTTCCTATCAGATGAGTCATGAGAAGAAGTGTTGATTCAGCAAGGTCCTTATCTCCTAGGACATAAATAACAGCCATTTCAATCACATTAACTTCAAAGCCGTTATATTAATCCCTTAATATCTGGTTTCCTTTGGAGCAGTGGCCTTGAACCTTCAAATTTATCTGGCTTGTGTAACAGGTATTTTGTAGGACTGACTTTATATTAGGTTTAGCCTTGGAAGTGAAATCTGAACACCTGGACTAGTTTTACATTCTGTAGACTGTAAAAGACCCATTTGCAAATTGTCCCATTGATACTGGAATACTTTCAGTGATAAAATCAGATATATATGTATGTGTGGGATTAAGACTTTAGCAAATAAGCATATTTTCTATCTTGTGAGGTAAAATAGCTGTGTAGTTGTGATCTTTTTCACTCTTTATACATACTGGTTTTGGGAATGGGACTCCTAGTTGCTTTAGTAATAAAAATCATAGAATCTTAGAGTATGCTGAGTTGGAAGGGACCCATCAGGATCATTGAATCCAGCTCCTGGCTCTGCGCAGGACACCTCAGGAATCACACCATGTGCCTGAAAATGTTCAAAGACTTCTTGAACTCAGACAGGCTTGGTGACCACTGCCCTGGGGAACCTGTAATCTGTATACTTGTACTTAGACTATACAGAGAAATAAAATGTTTGGGGGGTACTTTGTGTCAGATATTTTGCCTTCACTTAATGAATAAACTAGCTGTACAAGTGGTTTTTTTTCCTTTTGTTATGTCCTGGGATGCCATGTTTTGTCCCCCTCTGGACAGAGGTTGATGGAGCTGGGTGGTGTTGGCAGGGCTGACTTTATCGAGGCAGGAAGCACAGAGTCCACTCTCCTGGGTGCACAGACACTGCAAGAAAGTTTCTCTGGTCATAGCACTTCATCTTTTACATTGCTTTCTTGCCTGTAGTGGCTATTCCCCACTCCCCATCTTAGCAAGGAGATTAATTAAAGTACAATTTAACTATTATGTGCAAATCAAAAGACAGGAATGAAAAACTGTCTCTTCCATGAACTGTGGAAGCTGCTCTGTTCAGCTGACCCTTACGTAAGTTCCACTTCCTCTGTCCCTTGCCAGCCCCTCATGATCTGATTGTGCAAGCACAGTGTTACTGGTGTGAATGGTCTCCTTGTATTCAGGTGAAGTGACTCCTCTTAGGAAGGTTAGCCAAGGAAGCTACCCCTGAAGCATCGGTATTGTAGACAAAAGTGTAACTTGGGGATAAACAAACTAGACTTAAATAAGGAGTAGAAGCAATAAACCTGTGTGTCCAATTTAAACAACCAGCTTTCTCCTTTTGCTGCTTTTTTTTTTAAAGGAACAAATGTAAAAATAATTGTGTTGGATGTGAAAAATGCAATGAAACTATATTCTGTCATGGGATTTACTGGTGCTGCTTCTGTTTGAACAACAACAACAACAATATTTAATGAATTAAAACACTTGAGGCTGCTTATTTTGAAATGAAAGCATTACAAAAAACAGTGAGCACTTTGAAGAGTATGCTCTGTCTGTCAAAGCCTCCCTGCTGATTTCGGTTTGTTTAGAATCATTTTGATATTTAAAAAAAAATCCTGTTGCTGTTGAAGAGATAATAGTGGTGGGTTTCCCGAAAGAGATGGTAATGAAAGTGATCACAAGGCCTAAAGCAAACAAACAAAAATGTAGCTATTGCCCCTCCCTCTAATTGCTTTCCATTACAGTCACTTTAGCTCAGACTTTTAACAACTTTAAAGGAAAACCCCTGGGTATAGATAAAGTATTTATTAGCTTCATGACATTGTCAGGGCTCTCTGAGACAGCAGCTCTTAAGGTGAAGCTGCTGTGTGGTCTCAGAACATCAGTATGTTTTCAGCTAAGCAAGGCCACTCAGGGAGGATGGTTCATTGGTGGTTATTTGTTTTATTTACATCAGAGGAGAAAAGCAGGTTAATTTGCTATTTATACTCTGTGTTAACAGAAGTAGAATCATAGACTCATTCGGTTTGGAAAAGACCTATACGATCCTCAGGTCCATCCATTAACCCAGCACTGCCTCGTCCACTACTAAACCATGTCCCCAGATGCCACATCTACATGACCTTTAAATATCTCCAGGACTGGTGACTCAAGCTCTTCCCTGTGTTATTCCTGAGTACCAGCTGACAAACCTTTTTGCTGCCTAAGCTGCAGGCACAGCTTCTGAGTGATACACATCTGGAGAGCATTTCCTCTGCTGCAGGTCTATTCTAAAAAACTCCACATGCATCTGATCTTACTGGCAGGTGCCCTTTGAGTCAGCATTTTGGCAGAAAATGAGAACAGAATCAGAGCAGACAGAATAGCATTTAGGTAAATACTATAAAATGGTGGTGATGGTAGAGCTATTGTTAAAACCCTAATGTTTTAAACATGGCTTGCAAAGAGGATTGGATACAAAATTGGGACTGTGCCCTTGTTGGTTGTTGTCCTATTTATCAAGAACTCTCAAGATAATCTCTTTAAAGAGCTTTTTATTCAAGTTTTGCATTGGAGATTCGGAAGTTGCCTTCTTGGGAAAGCTCAAGTTTCAAAAGAACTACTCAAGTTTTAACATGATGAGAGGAGTTTTTCAAACTTTGTTTGAAACTAGATTGTTTAAACCTCTTGAAACTGTATTTTAAGTTCTATGCATCATATATCCTTAGGTGAAAGGGCACCTGTGTTAAGGAATCTAAACTTCCTAAAGAAAGAAGTAAGAATTCCACAAGACACCTCTGCAATCAAGAGAAGTCCAGGGAAGATGGGACTTCATATTCCCCATATAGTTAAGGTTAAAAAAAGGCAGAAAAAATGTTTACTGGTTCTAGTTGTTTTTTTTTTTTAATGGTTCCTTCTGATTTCAATAAGAAACATTCACTCACACATGGAAAGGATACACTTGGATATGTGATCAGAGAGTGTTCAATCCTCTGGATGATAAACTACTTTCTGATTCTGACAGAGTACTTGATTCCAGTGACACTGTAACAAGTGTGGGTTGGCATGGGGTAACTTTGGGGAAGGAATCACTGATCAGTTTGGTTTCCAGTCTATTGAAACAGAGTGTTCATTTCCTTAAAAGCACTGTTTTGTGCCCCAACAGCAGCTGCATGGTCTTACTCCTGATGAGTGAGCAATATAATACAATTCTGTCATCCCTCTTCCAAAAATACCATTAATAATTCCTCGGACGGGAATCCAGGGAAAGGTGACACCCTGGTTCTGTGGATCTGAAGCTGGCAGAAGAAGAGAATGCATTGAGAAAACTGCTGCAGCAGCTCCCCTGTTGGGTTTTCCTCCAAAAGGAGACGTTCTGTTTCCGGGTGGTTCTGACTGTTGGCAACTCTCAGGGGTTAATGCTGTGATTGGTCTGTTTATCTGGGTATGAAAGGACAGGTAGTTTTGTTTCCAATAAGATTTTCTCTGAGAAAGCAGAGATGTTTTAACTACTCCACCTTTAGGTGTTTGGCAACAAGACTATGTCAGACAGTCAAAACTAGAAGGCAGCTCCAAGGGATCATGTCCTCCTCTAACTTGCTCAGTCCTGACAGGTGTTTGCCTAATTTTCCTCAATGACCTTCACAGAGGGAAACTGTGGTTGGCCCATCAGTCTGCTCCAGCAGCTTCCTTTGTATTCCAGGCTTTATTCTAGTTCTCTGGTTGGTTCTTCACAAACCTCAAGTTGTTCCTGTGCTCCAGCAAGCTCCTTCTTCCTTTTGTAGCCCCTTTTAGCTTATTGTT